AGTGGCCAGTCAGAACTCCAGCTGGTAGTAAGTAGTACAAAAAGCCAAAATTGTCGACACTACCTAACAGACGGACATACTGAACAACAATTACCTATTCTTAATTTAGCGATAAAAATTAATTATAACATAAAATTAAGACATATGTGCTGATGCAAATTTAAATATGTATCATAATAAAGAACTAATGAAGAACTAATGAAATAAAACAAAAATATAAATTAAAAAATGATTTGTTCTTCTGTAGTGTTATAATTCGCATAAATGCAATTATTTTTAAAAAATAACAAAAAAGTAACAATTTTTCCGTTACTTTAAGTATCAATAATGAGTTACTTTTTATAATCGGTAACGAGTAACAAGTAACGAATTACGTTTCACCGCAAATAACTGTAACTGTAACACGTTACTAAAAAAACGGTGACTTTAACAACCCTGCAAAGAAACCCATCTTCTCGGACAGATTTTTGAATTATTGGTGTCAGTATCCGATTTCACAAAAGAAGGGCATTATTTGACCGATAGAGTTTTTATCACATTCAGAATTCCACACAAAAAATTAAAATTTTTTTATTAGGATTTTGTTAGAAAATGACTATCGGTTGAAATTTATTTTTGAAACATTGACTGATTGGATAAAAAAATTAATAAAAAATCCAATTGTAATTACAAGACTTCTACTAACAAGATTAAAAAAGAACGAATCAGATAGTTCACAATTCCTTTCATCAATAGAATATCTATAATAAGTTCTGCAAATTTATTAATGATCTGTCTTATAGGGTTGCTCATTATAGTATCAATATACTTAACAAATTTATTAGAGTACACAAAAATCCTCTGCAAAAATTTTTCAAAAGAAATATGATTTACAAGATCGAATATGTGATTGCGATTCTTATGTAGGCCAAACGGGAAAAAACTAAAAATTAGATTAGCAGAGCACCCTAACCAAATACATAAAGTTACATCCACTCGTTCAGCTAGCACGGAGTATAGGGTGAGTTGCAATCATGACTTCGACTGGAATAATGTGAGAATTCTGGATACTAAGAGAAATTATAATAAACGAATAATATCGGAGATGCTTTACATAAATCGCCAATCAAATAGTCTTAACATGCAAACTGACATTGAGGCATTAAATCACGGTTACATAGAAATTCTCAACAAGGTATAATACATTTATTTTTATAATTGACCGACACGCTTCTGTTCTCAAGACACATTTCTTTTTGTTTTTAACGGTTATTACCCTGGTAGCAAGCTGACGTCAAAATAACGTCATTTGACGTCAAAAAGACGTCATTTGACGTCAAAATGACGTCAAAATGACGTAGCTTGCTACCTGGATACGTGACCAACATCGGAACAAACATGACTGTCTTTTATGATTTTTAAATTATTTTTAATCTAACTTTGACAATCGTGAATTTTAAATTTGTTTAATGGATTATGACGATGTTTGGATCCGCGTGCGATCGTTGTTGTAGGTTTGATGAATTTTGCCACATCATTTATAAATAACATAAAATAAATCTCCATCTATTAAAAAAATCTTGTTGCAATTAATAGCTTGAGATCCACCATCTGCTCTACTCAGCTTTACAACTGTTTGGCACAACATCAGACTATGTTGGAGATGATCGTTTCTCACCGCATTTCCATTGAGACTGCATAATTGGAGAGAACCGCGATTTTGCGATATACAGTTCGATATTATATTTAGCGCAATTGGCGGTAATTGTTATTGCTGAGGATGGCTCAAAACGTAAGCCGAAACGTACAAATCTATTTTGTTATTCACAATTAATTTTTGCGCCAGATAGCACCCAGCGCAGACTCCTAACGCCCAGTTGAATTTCGCTGTTATGTTTTATTGTATTAATTAAAGAAGTCTATAATTTTGTATATTTCACTACTTAAAGTCTATAATTTTGTATATTTCACTACTTAAATTGCAGGGAATGGAAGTAATTCGTTACTTGTAACGAAGTTACAGTTACAAGTTACTTTTTTGGTAACTTTACTAGTAACTGCGTTACTTTTTTTCTTTAATAACTGTAACGGTAACGAAATTACATTTTTTTGGTAACGGTAACGAATTTTACAGTTACTTTTATCATTACTTTGCACATGATTGGACACGATACGACACAAGCCACTTACACCGTAAAAAAATTTCGTAAATTTACACATATAATAAATGTAAAATAGATTACATGATTAGTTCTGTAAATATAAAAAATCATGCAGTTTTACAAAAATTATGTAATTGCACAAAAATATATTATGTAAATTTGTTTTTATTGTGTAAATATATCTTATTTTATATTGGAAATTATGTAAATAGGATATTTTGAATATTTTCTGTAATTATCCAAATTTTAATAATATTACGCAACATAAAAGAAATTTTTTGCGTTGTTGTTAAATGTATAATAATATATAGTGCGAAATGTATTGTCATATTATTGTTCCTGTAGCTACACATACACATTGTAATTGTACTTCCACAATCTGCTTAGTTCCAAACCAAGAAATTATTTTTATTTGCATATTGCAAATTTACAAATGTGTGGACGTTTACAACTATTATAGTGGATCTCAAAATTATCCAGCATAATAGTTGTAATTTTACACAATTTTTTGCGCTTGAAACTAGAGAAGCCTGTAGGCTGTGATTGTTGGTCGTCGATTTAGAAAAAAGTAACGAAAAGTTACTTTCTCAAGTAACGGTAACTGTAACGAGTTACTTTTAAAAATCGGTAACTAGTAACGGTAACTTGTTACTTTTTCTACTCGGTAACGAGTAACTGTAACTTGTTACTTTTAAAAAGTAACTTTCCATTCCCTGTTAAATTGTTTATTCGGTAATAGATTTTAGATTTTTATTTAAAGCAGAACAGTCTACTAAAGCATCGAATGGATGAAAGGATTTGAAAAGAATTACGTAGTGAAGAGATTGAGAAAAGAATTACATAAATGAAGAGATTGGAGTACAGAGAAACGTTAGACAAATCAGAGACAAAATATTAAAAGTAAAAGTCCGAGAAATCCTATTCCAGAGAAAACGACACGAGAAGAGGAGAAAAGAGGAAAAGGATTATACATAAGAACTTGATGTGTGTGATTTGTAAGGACCGAGCAGATTAGCGAGAAGGCCGAATGGGATAGACTGCATAGCTTGAGTTTGACTAAAAATAGGTCATGGTTGAAGAAGAAGAGAAGAGAAGAGAGAGAGCGAAGAGAGAAGAGAGAGAGAAGAGAGAGGTCTCGAAAACCTTTTATAAAAACTTTTCATAAATTTGTATTTGCCTATAATTGTGAATTTAAGACTCCTTTAATACTCTCAATTATAAATTCTATTAAACATAAGACAAGTAATATTAAAAGATTAAATATTATTATATAGTGGCCGAAAGTATATTTTAAATTTTTACCTTAAAATGACGGATGTTAATGAGAATTAACGTAATGGTGACCAACGGTACGATATCTTTGGTGTATACTGTTTTACTGATCTGGAAATCGATGTATCTTGGATAGTAAAAGAAGTACATAAGGAGGCTCCATTTGGTCAAAGCATACAAGCAAGAGATATACGTCCTAGGTTGTCCAATAGGATATTCGAACATGCCCAAATTGCAGTACACGCCAATGGTCATTAATGGTGCCAACGCTTCTTCTAGCGTTTCTGTCATAGTTTCCGTGTTATTGGCTAGTATTTTAACTGAATTAGTTCTTGCTGCTCGAGACACAAACACGTTTTAATATTTTTTATAAGATTTTCAGTAATAGTTTGCGATGTTTCTCTACGAACTTTGTGAGAACTACACTGTAAGATATGTACATTGGGGGATAACGTATGTAAATGCCGTTCAACCAACAAGTATTGAACAGCAGTATGGACACACAGATAATCTAGATTAGATTGCCTTTCTTTCATTGAATTTTTATTTATGAGTAGATTAAGGCCTCTAGTTGTGGATCATCCTTGAAAAAAAAACATTCATATTTTTATCTAGAACGATATCAAACATTTAATGAAATATATTTAATATTTATGATTGATTATAAAAATTACATTATGGATGATTTTATTTCATTTCAATACCGTTTTATGTTTTAATTTTATTTAAATAAAACATTGACAATTGTCCACAATTAGACCCCATATACTAATTGCGGATCAGTTCATCAAATGCTTTATCCTTTTTGGATTTAATTTCAATTGAACATGATATTGACTTTTTTCATGAAATCTAATGCTATTTACTACCTCCTGTAAAAGCCATAAGGCAATTCTTATGATATTATACTTTGAATGAAATTTAGTAGATATATATCCTACTTGATGTCTCACGTTTTATTATTGAACGATGTTAATAAAATGTGTAGCGCTATTGTTAATAAATAAAAAACAATTGATACTTGAAAAAGATAAAACAAATGCTACAAAATCTTGTGATGTGCATTATTTGATAGAAAATGCTATAATTATTTAAATATATAACGCTATAATAATTTAAATATATAATGTCATATAACGTATGTATATGCCGTTCAACCATCAAGTATTGAACGACAGAATGAGCACATTCTAGATAATCTAGATTAGATTGCATTTCTTTTTGTGGAATATTTATTTATATATTATTATGAGGGGGGAAACTATTATATCTTTAATAAAATATTTTATATATTGAAGTTATACGCACAATCCGGGAAAAAATATATCTTATATAATTATATATAGGTAGAAAATATAAAAAATGTAAACATAAAATTATATAAAAATTTGTCATATATTACATACAACTATATGTACATAAGACAAGAATTTTGTAAATTCCAATCATTTCCAGAAACTTTTTGTGATTTCTTTCTAAAAAAATATAAAATTTGATTAAAATCAAAATATTATTTTATTAAAAAATTGTTATTATATTATAAACCTTATAATAATAAATCAGTTTTCAATAGCAACATGTTTCATTCTAAGTTATTTTTTTAATAGTATATAATTTTGAACGAGGACTTCCAATTGAGATCAAATCTCTCGATGTATTATCCATCAAATCCACGATAAAATTCAGTTTCATAAGCTTGGTTAAGTAAATCGCCGTTTGATAATCTCGAGAGAGAGAAATTTTTTCTCTCTCATATCCGTTCTGTTATGTGAAGACATTTGACTTGCCTAATAATTCGGTCGTAATTAATCCTAATTTTTTCATAATCTTCATTATTTCCATCCAAACGATCATCAAATAATCTTCCTTCATTTGAGTCTTCCATCTGCAAGATACGCGTTGAATTATAAATAACGTAATATATTAAAAGAATACCACTTTAACGCAAGAAATACGTATATTACTTGAGGTATGGCTATTTCAATTCACGAGACACCGTATTCCCCACGTACGAAAGCTGCTGGAAGGTATATTCTATCAGCTATCGCCTTGAAAAGCATAGCTCGCTCGAGATAAGAACCAACACGAAGTTTCCCAAGCGGAATCATGCTCGTTTCTAAACATTTTTTAATTTGCTTCAAATTAACTTCAAGTTGCTGGTCGATGCATCTAATTCTCGCTGAATCGACATCAGACATTGGATGCGACATGAATACAGATAACATCTTTGCACGTGAGAGAACGTATTAGTTATTTCGATCTGTATTTCTTTCTGCCGCTGGACTGTGTATTATAAGTTATTTCATATAAGAATTTGTTTGTATAATAAATGGGATATATGAATTATTTTAAATAAGATTTTTAGAAGCTCTACTAACATCTTTTGGTTCCTTTACTGAGAGCATACGTTTAAAAAGTTCACATATTCAGAGAAATATAGATCGCATTGCAATCAACCAAACTTCGATTCGAGCCACGCATTTATGTATTCTGCAAACAAACACAATTTTTTGAAGTAATATTCTCTTTTATTATCCCTTCTTATTTTTTATATAAAATATAAAATCTTATTACTTTCGAAAGTTATCTCGTTCTGTAAAGTGTCTGACGTAATTGCAAATAATTTACCACATAAATGGGCTCTAAGGGACAAATTTTGATTCGAAAAATATCATCCGTCATGAGAGATCTAAACAAAATAGTTATGGAAACATTACAAATGGTAATAAAACGATTTCAGCAAATTTAATTGCACAGAAAGAACTATTCTGCTGAAGTATCTAAAAATTTAGTTAAATACAGATTTAAAAATAATTATATTGAACTATCTAAATAATTATATTGAACGCTTAAACTGATTGCTAAAATGTTAAAACTTTTTACAGCATCATCATTATGCTTGAGTGTTTTATATAATTTATCTTGATGATGAAATGTCATTATTAGATATTCGATCAATATGTCTGCCAAATTTTTATGTATTATAGCAAAATTACTCTGAAAAATATTCTCTTTGTATCTTATAACATTTCTAAGAATTTTTTGTATTTTTATAAAGATTTCTGAAACAATATACATTAAATCTCTATTCAGATTTAGGTTTTCTTCGGAAATTATGGAATGAGAAATTTTGGAAATGTTAAAGTATTTAGAATTCACATTTATTTAAGAATTCTAAAAAAAGATATAGATTTTTTTGGCACTTCTAAAGTGTTCCAACTTGTAAAAGAAACTGAAAAATTTTTTAAAAAATTAAAAACTATACAAAAATTCCAAAAAATTCTGAATTTCTATAAAAATTCCGGAAACTTACATGAAAAATTCTAAAAAAAATGTTTACTAAGACGTTCTTTTCGTGTGCTATAACAAAAATTTACATACGAACATATATTGGTTTTTAAGACATAAAATCCATCCTGAGTAAGATCATGTGAAAACAAGCGTCCTGTAAGAGCGAATTTAGTTGGTAAATGCGATTTAAGAATCTCAATGAAAGTGTCCCATAAAGGAATCGTTTTTGAAGATAAACGGTTATTCAACGTGCTCTAGAATAAAATTAAATGATCACTATAAGAACTCTATGTAATAATTTCAATTAGCATATTTTAATTAGCATATTTTATATACGTTTTGAGGAAAGATATTTTTTCATAAGAGATGATGTCGCTTATGAAAAAATATCTTTCCTTAAAACGTATATAAAATTGCAAAAAAAAGCTTATCATAAACTTGCTACAAAAGGTACTTATTTTCTACGAAGGACTTTGCTACAGTTAAATCTGTAGAAATTACCTGCATTGACTGTAGCGTAATGTTTCTTATTGAAACTGAATAAGTATCAGTAATGAAAGCGAGTATTGTTTGGGATCCTTTTGATTTGAGGAAAAAACGCTGTCCACTTTCTTCTAAACATAGTGCAGAAAGTAACTTGCAGCAAGCGATTTTAAATTCATCCACAAATAGATAAATTGACTAAAAGATTAAAACATATTTCTTAATATTATATTGCGAAAAATGAAGATGAGAGGAAAAATTTTTCACTAATATTTTTGAAAATATCTTTAGCTCAGCTTGAACAATATATTTATATTTTTTAACCGTATATTTGAGAAACTCAATTAATACTAGAATGTAACTGCCTATTACGGTCGGAGCTGGATCTTCGTTGCTTTAAATAATTCAATCTTGAATTACTAATATATACTATATATGTACTTGCATATATACCATATTGTAGTCTTTTTCAAACTGCGCGCCGAATTGTTTTTCCGGACTAAATAAACGCAATTAAAACTACTCTAGTAATCGCGAATTAAATTGACAAGCAATTTTAATAATTTGATGCTACCATCAATCATATATTATAAAGATGTTAATCTATAAAAACTATTAATAAATTTATTGCGAAAAATATTACCTCGGCCGGGACTTGAACCCGGATCTCTTGTAAACCGTACGAGCGTCCTGAGCCATTAGACTACCGAGGCCTTAATCAGCTTGAACAATTAGTCGGAATCAGCGCAACATTCAACATATTAAAATATATTAGAAGAGAAATACTTCCAAATTAATATTTATTTTTTACCTTTAAAAGCAAGTAAATTGTGTCAATAGTGTCAAAATTAATCATTGTATCTTTGAAAGTTAGATGTCGTGCCATGGTAAGCAGAACTTCAAGAGCAATACCAATACAATGGTAATACAAGTTTCTACAGGAACTTGTTCTGTCAAGTGTTTCAACATTTTCCACAGGTAATCCTTAAAGAAGAAAGTGATTATATTTATACATATTATTTTTGTTGATTTTTGTGTATTCTTTGGGAGTTACATTGTAGAGTGCAAAATTATAATACATTAACGATATGTTGGTGTCGACTGGGTGGTTTCAATGCTACCTGTATTTCGAATGGGTTCATGAAGAATGACAGTGGGGCTAATGACCCTGAGAATTACATATGCAATTTTTGTTCAAAAATAATTAAGTTTTTTAATTTTTGTATTATTTTTTCAAAGTTTATATTAATTTTGTACATTGGTATAATAATATTTTTTTTTGTTTTCTTATCAACATTCCATGAAACATTTTCTTTGAAATATTTGTTTTATTAATTTTATTAATTTATTTTACACATTTATTTCTTATAATTTTGGCTTTGCGCACAATTATCTAACCCATGCGCACAATTACCCAACGCGCGAAAATTTTTTTCGCTTTTGCTTTTTTTGCCAAATATATTATTAAATAAAAAATTGCTCAATGTAAGAATGCATACTATTAGAATTACTTTGTATTTCCGTGCTCATATTGACTTCAAAATGTAAATTTTTTATCAGATTTATTGTGCATGCGTGCGTGCGTGCGTGCGCGCGTGTGTTCGACCGATGGTGAAAACTTCTTGAATGTTGTTTAGGATCATGAACATTGTCAAGATCAAGACCCATTGGAGGTTGTACACATGGGGACATAAATGCCTACCCATCTGAACTTGCCGGAGTATCGAAACATATTCAAGATACGTGTTTCCCTCTAAATATTCATGCATAATGATTGACAATTATTTGAAATACAATAATGTTAAGTGATATTATTACATATATAGAATCACTATACACAAGT